GACAGACACGGGGGGGGGGGGGGGCCTGTAATAGTGCCACCTAGGACTCTGGCCTCTGAACAGTCCTGGGATGAAATGTTGCATGTGGGAGTTCTGTGACAGTCCCAAACACACTGTGGGGAGGAGGGGTGATGGAAATAGCACAGCTGTCCTGAGGCTGAAAAGTTGGAAGGTAGACCAGGGAGAGGAAAACTCCTGGTTCACACAGAGGGGTCTGGTCCCCACCTCACAGTCAAGTGCTGAGTTTTGGGCAGTATGGTGGGGCTTCTGGCCCCCACTGGAGCCTCTGTCCTCCCTACCTAGAGATGTAGGCAGACCTACCTAGGGTTTGGAGTCTATATTCTCTCCCTACATCACCTCTATCCACACAGCAGCATTTCCCCTGTCCATTACGGCCTGGTCAGCAGTCTTCAGAGATTTAGGGTGAGGTAACAGGTACTTGGGTGGATGGGAGGGGCAGCCCTACAGAGGTGCCAAAGAAGGTCAAGGGAATTTGTTCTTTAACTCCCTGTTCTCTGGGCTGGAAGTTTGGGTAGAGAGACTGGACTTTGGTATAATAAAGCTGTCAGAAATGTCACCATCTCCTCCAGGGCCACCCCACTTCCTGCTCAGAACTGATGGGGTGAGGTGATACAGTAAAATTTGGAGTGTCCTTGACTTTGAAAGACCCTTTCTCAGTTCTTAGTGAACGTAGCTTCAGAGGCTAGCAAAGGAACTCTTCCAGCTCAAGCATGGCAAGCATGGCAAGCCTTGCCCATCTCCCATTCTCTTTGCTATGCTACAGATGTTTACATTACATTTCTAAAGCTAGCCACCGCACTCTATTCCCTTATCTGGCCACTGCCTCTTCCTGAGGCTGACTACTAAAGCCCAGCTATCAAAGTATTGAAAGCCAGCAATCGGAAGACCCCTTTGGCTCACCTAAATAACATGCCCAATTAAAATTAAACTGCTCATGCTAATATGAGCCCATTTTATCTTTATAAACCACCATTCACTTATGGGCCATGTCGGTATATTCTCTTTTCAGAGACAGATCTTTGTCCCCCAGGACAAATACTCCTTACCCGTCTCCCTTGCCTCCATTTCCCTCTCTCCCTTGTTCCCTTCCCCTTCTCCCTCATCCTCTATCTACTGTTTTCGTCCCTTATCCCTGCCCTCTCTCCCTCTGGAGCAAATAAATCTCCTTTGTGCTGAGAACTTGGTCTTGAGAGTCCTGAGCAGGTACTTCTTCTTTCAGCTAGGATCCTGGAGAACTCTGAGGCCACCAAGGCCAGTGGCTTTCAGGTTTTCATCTCTGGAATTCAATAACGAAGTTCACAGACCACAGAGTTTTAGCGACAAGATTATTATAAATTCGTAATGAGACCTTAAAAGACAGAGGGCAGAGCTCCAATAAGCAGGAGGTGTCTCTAGGAATGGGCTACCATCTACCATCAAGCTGTCAGTCTCAGGGCTTTTTGAAACACTGATGGAAGAAACTGGGGTGAGACACAGAGAGAGGGATAAACTGGTCAGCCCAGCCGATCCAACCAAGAGGTATTCTGAAGTGGAAGTTTCTGGTTTCTTTGGAAACTCAGTTGTGTCGTGTAAATATGTTTTTGTTGTTGTTGTTGTTTTTGTTTTGGTCCAAAGTCTGGCATGTGAGAATGCTTCCCCTCACCTCCCACCCGTGGAAAACAGCCTCCTCAGAAAAAGCATGTGATGTTTGTCAGCTGGAGTTTACCTCATGCAAGGGGCATGGTTTTTGTGAGCTAAAAAACATCCTCCTGTGGACCCTGAGAAGGGATAAGTAGAAGGCCACAGACAGTGAGAGAATGTTTTTTGCATTGCTGCTCTTTGCAACCGTTCAAATCCTTCAATGGTCTTCTAAGAGAGAACATCTTGGGCTGCTTTATCGGAGTTTTGCCACTTTGATGGACTTGTGCCAGTTTGGGATGCTTCTACTGAATCTATCCACTGATGCTGATGAGTGTTGTTGCTGCTGCTTTGCTATTTGATTGACTGCTGGTATCCTGATGGCTGAATTCAGTAATCCCCAAAGAACCCATTGACTTTTATCAGCAGAAAGTAGATAAAAGAGGTCTACAGACCCCTTTCCTGCTAATCTCCTGCATAAGGTTGGGGCGTTAGAAGGGAGGTAGAGGCATTTAAGAACCTTAAAAAAAAAAAAAAAAAAAAAAAAAAAAAAACAGACGTTTGAAAAATCTAAGCCTACAATGTCCAGGTTCCTTCTTTCAGTTTTGGATTTGTTCTCACATATAATGTACAGGCAGAAGTGAGACACAACAAAGGACCAGAAACAGGAACTCTCTTCTACTGTCTGCTACCCTCAGAACAGCTTCTATGGGGTCCCTGACCAGCTTCCATCTTCTGTTCTTATCAGGAGTTCTGTGGTGGCCAGATCTCCTCTGTTCTTAAGCAAGTGGACCCTATGTCCCATCCTGTGCCCAAGGCTGCTCCTTTCCAGTGTTACCCTTTCTCTTCCCTCAGGTTCCCCAGCCTAGTCTCTGGTCACACCTCTCCCAGACCTTGGCTCCTCATTGCTTGTTGGAAAGCAGACTCTTCCTTGATGGGTCTTGAGTCTGAGTTTGGAGTCCAGAGGTCCCTGCCCCCACCCCTGTAACTTTTAAAACGGAGCTGTAAAGGTTGGTGCCCTCCACAATGCTCCTGTGCTCACCTTTACTCCAACCCTGTACCTGATGAAGGCAGTAGCATTACATTACAGAGATTCACATCCTTGGGGCCACTGAAGATGGACCCTGCCCTCATGATAGACTTTGAACTCCATCTCTTGGTCAAAAACAATAGAATCTAAATTCTACCTCTTCCCTTAGAAAACCCAGTACTATTATTCTGCTGAAGAAATGTAGCAGTAAAATGATCCTTAATGGCATACTACTATATCCACAGATCAGCGCCTGACTCAGCCCTCATCAAAGAATCTTTTTTTGTCTTGTTTTGTTTTGTTTTTGCAATAGATGGGAATTAACACAGAGATCCACAACTGTTCAGAGAATGAAAGACTTTGGCGCACTCAGTCCTAAATGGGATGTCTTCTTCAAAGCCCTCCCCTCAGCGTTCAGAGGTATACGTGGAAAGATTGTAGGAGCCAGAGGGAATGGATGAATCCAAGGAAGAATTGGTACACATATGAGCCCACAGAGACTTTAGCAGCATACAATCAGATGAGGCCCCAGCACTAAGAAGAGAAGGTGGACATGGGCTCCCACCCCTAACCAAAAACCCATCTGCAGCTGATACCAGATGGGAAAGGGAAGATCTGTTTTCCCCAATGAAATCTCACTGGTATGTTAGTCACATATCAGGAAGGGCCCCAAGCCCAGAAATAGTAGTTGGCTAACACCAAACTCCATGGCATTTTTGTGGACTTTTCATCTCATTCTGTTTTGTTGGGGCATATTTTTCATGTGGTGTTTGAGGCGGGGTTTCTCTGTGTAGCCCTGGCTGTCCTGGACTCAATTTATAGACCAGGCTGTCCTTGAACTCATATAGATCCACCTGCCTCTGCCTCCTGAGTGCCTCCCAGAAGGCTACAGTCTGGTCATGCTGAACAGAACCAGACATTTCAGGATGAGGATCAGAGGACACACAACAGCAGTGCCTTCTGCCTGAGACCCTTGGATAAGATGGGCTTGTCTCTGCTATGACAGAGATGGTATTGACAGGCTGGAGACCAATGGTCCATGAAAGAATTCACCAAGGCAAAAAGGCAGACGCTAACAGGTGCATTAGAGACACTGGCAAAAGTGCCATAGGCTGAATGGTGAAGAGACACTGTGCAGAGGCATTCCAGGCTGTTGATTGTGAAGGTACAGCCTTCTCCTCAAGCCATTGGGTGGTATTTGAATGTCACAGTGCCCTGGTTGTGTCGATCTTCTAGGGAGGGACACACGTGGAGCTCACATCTGGGTAGACGCCTCCTGATCTTGCTGAGGAGTGAGGACTTGTCACTAAGGATTGGCTGTCTGAGCAAGGCAGGCATAGCTCACTACATAACTCACACTTCTGAGAATCTGAGTTACTAAGGGTAACTCAGGAGTGAGGATAAGCAGGGAAAAGGCAAGAGATTCCTTCTCCCGTGTCCCTTACGTAGGCTGCCACCAGAAGGTGTGGCACGGATTGAGGGTATGTCTTCCCGCCTCAATTGATACAATCAGAAAGATCACAGGCATGCCTCGCTCTTTGGATTTTAGCTGATTACAGAAGTAGTCAAGTTGACAACCAAGCTTAGCCATCACAGTCCTGAACCTAGTCACCTTGGATTTGAGGAACACCAGCACCGGTCCATCAACATCTTGATGACAAAGAGCTGAACCTACCCCCGAATGAGGGTACAGGTCATTCCTGGCTCATCAGACAGCAAAAAAATCACCAGGTTGTAAGATACACCCGATCTTGCATTCCAGGAAAAACAGCTAGGCACCCCATTCCATTGAAGAAGTAAGCTGGGTGTTTAACTTTGTTGGCTCCTCCAGTGTGTGCACAGACAACTACAGCCAAGACACAGGTTTAATGAAGACCTGCCAGTCTGCTGCTGGGTTGGAAGGAGACACAATTAGATCATGTACTGTGGGCAGCATGAGGCCCTATACTTGGCTAGCAGCCCCTTATCCCTAAGGCCTGTGCTGACTGCCTGAGACAGACAAAAAGACCAAGTAAGAGATGTTAAAGATTTCACCAGGTGTCAAGACATAAAGCAGGGGTGGGTACCTTTGAACATGTAAGTTTCACTTCATTCTCAGAGCCTGAGAAACAGATTTTGATCTCTTCCCCCAGCAAAAGCAAGTGCTTTGGGGAAGTGGGAGAAGCCTTTCTCTGCCCTCAGCATCAGCCCTGAGGAGAGCCTGCCCAAACTAAGCAGTACGCCACTCTAAGCTGGGTAACATGAGCTAGATTGCTATGTGACTGCCTGAAACAGTAGAGATATGGACTGACAGGCAGGACTCAGTGGACAAAAGAAAATTGCAGATTTTGGCTGAGAGAACAAAGGCTTTATTGGATTCAACTGGGGCCGTTGAGTGGTATGTGTGGGAAAGCCCCAGGATCCCAGAGATTTATGTGTGAAGACAGTGGTGCCATAATACATTGGAATTCTGCCTCTTCCCTGTGCTGTCTAAATGCCTCCAGGGCCTAGAATAGCATGAAAATGGCATTCTAGGAGGTGTCCTAGGGACGAGGTGGGCACCTACCTAGCAGGGACTGAAACAAGGACTTGAAACAAGGTGTCCCACACCCTACCCCCACCCCACCCTACCTCAGAGTATCTATAACTCATAACGGATCCTTAGATGGCTCCAGGAAGGAGGGATTACACATTGGGATACAAGGATGAGGGTGGGAGTAGCAGGAAAGGCCATCAGAGCAAGGTCTGGAGGAGGACCGACCCCAGGCTGAACAGAAGCACCCCTGCCAGGGTCCAGGTCCTTCCCACAGTGTGAACTGCTGCATTGCAGAGGTCTTCCATGCAACAGGAAATCTCGTAGCCGCCGCCAGTACCCATAATCTCCAGGTATTCAGGGAAACCCAAATTGTTGGGGCACGCAGGAGAACAGAACTTGTTTTTCATTTTCATTCTAGAAGACACTGCAAAACATCAGGGAGTAACCTCACAGCTTATACAGGAACAACTCAGCATCCCCAAGTCTGGGGTACATGCCACCAGGCCTGGATGGCCCAGCCTTGACTCTTAAGGCACACTGAAGCCAGACATGGTGGCTCATACTTGTTATCTCAGAATTTGGAAGACTAAGGCCGGAGGATTTTTATGAGTTCAAATCCAACCGAGGGTACATGAGGAGTTCTCGGTCACCCTGGGGATAGAGAAAGACCCTGTCTTAAAAGAAAACAGGCTGGTAGAGCAGCTCGGTGAATAAAATGCTTGTTTGTGCGACCATTGGGGACCCAAGTTCCAATCAACGGAGCCCATCAAAAGATGGGCAAGCATGGTGGCCTACTTGTAATCTCAGTGCTCAGGAGGGAACAATGGGGAATCCCTGAGGTAAGCTCATTGGCTGTGGCTGGACTAGCTGAACCTGTAAGCTTGGGGTACAGTGAAAAACCCTGCCTCAGTAAATAAAATAGTTTCCAAAGGAAGATAGCCATCAACCTCTGGGCTCCATGCCCTTGCACCCACACATGTATACACACATGCACTTACACGCTCTGTGCTGAGGAGACAGCTCAGTCGGTAACCGTGCTCATCACACGGAAGCATGAGGAGCGAGCTTCAAACCCCAGCACCCAGGTAAAGAGCCAGCCGTGCGTGGGAGCACTGCTCATGATCTCCATGGTGAGGAGGCGACAGCAAGAAGGCTCCAGGGACCCCCAGCCAGCCCTCACCCTCAGCCTACTTGGCAAATACCAGGTCTCTATGTAAGAGCTTGTCTCATAGACCAACGTGGTTGGGACTGGAGAAACGGCTCAGCAGTTAGATGCACTTGTTGCTCTTCCAAAGACCGAGGGTTTCGTCCCCAGACCCACATGGTGGTTCCACAACCATCCATAAGTCTAGTTCCAGGGAACCAAAAGCCATTCACATAAATTTAAGTTGTTTTTTTTTTTTTTTTTAAAGTAGATAGCGCTTGATGAATGAAACCTAACAATGTCCTCTGGCCTCCACATACATGCACACATATGAACCCACACTCAGAGACAAACACCCACCCACCCACCACACACACACACACACACACACACACACACACACACACACAAAGACATGGCACAGTGCAAGACCACTCGGTGGCAGAGCAGAAAGTGCAGCTGGCCTCTCAGATTCTGACTGGTCCCCCAGGCAGTTGTACCTAGGAGACTTGCTCCAGGGCATGGCAGGCTGTAGAAGGAAGAGGAAACTGAGTAGCAGGGTGGGCCTGCTCCTGCCTGGTCTGTCTAGAGGTTGTGCCTAGAAACTGACAACCTTGGGGATCTGCTGTCCCTTTTCCATCAACATCCTTTAGCCTAAACTCCAGATTCCTTCATCGTATGCAAAGACTCACTAAACGCTCCTAATTCCTCGGGGCCTTCAGTAAGCCAGTGAGACCCTAGACACGGAGTAAGGATAGAAGCGCCACAGGACTGCCCTGGTGAGGGGACGGGAGATGATGACAATCATGCATTCCACAGGGGCAGGCCTGCTTTAGGATCCACCTTCTAGCACATTTCTGCACTCCAGGGCAGAACCCCCACTTTGCAGGAGTCACAAATAACTATGATTGACAAGTGGCCGGACCTTTCCTCCCAATCCACCTCCCACCCATCTGCATAAGGCCTCAAGGAACTCACACACTTTGGCTTCAACATCCTGAGTGACACAGACTGTATCAGAGCTGGGGCAGGTGAGTACTTCGCAGGGTGATATGCCCGAGCATTGGTAGCAGCGCAGCCCCTGAGCTGAGAAAGAAGCCAATACGTGAGGGGCAGAGCATGCCCTTCATAGCCCAGATCCCTCCTCTGCATCTGGCTTTATTGTCCACACAGCTGCTGGCCTATAGGACAGAGCAAGGACACTATTGCCCAGCACCTCCACCAAAAGCAAACGTGAGCCAAGAGCCGCTTATTGAAATTGTTCACATATACTGGGTACTAGACCTGGATACCAAGGGGTATTAGCGAGACAAGCAGGAAGACATAGATACCTGATGTCTGCTGAAATGCTGAGTGGATGAATGAGTAGGTATTGGGGCAGAACCAGGGCCACCTGATAGGGGAGGCTGTTCTGATCTGTCTTCTTACATCTATACCTGCAGAGCTGGTGCTGGGCCTTGGAGTATGACAGGGCACTGGACTTCTCAGAGCCCAGCTCAGAGTTGGGGCTCACCATCAAACCACCCACAATACAGATGTAGCTAGAAGTAGAGGGTTATCTGAGGCCTCAGAGTCTCCTAAACTAGGAAAGTTCTAGCATTTGGGCCTTCACGTGGCTGGGCTTGGGCATCAGAAAAAGGCCAAATGCCAAGAGTTAAGAATTCCAAACTCTTTGACTTGGCAGCTGGGACAGGAAAAGAAGCCTCTGCTAGCTTGTATTTATAGAGGCCAGTGGCCTGGCTGGGGAGGCAAGGACAGCTGAGGAGAGTCTGAGGACAGGTTGTCTGGGCCTCTGGAAAGAAATGAGAGGGGCAGAGAGTACAGTAATTCTTTCTGAAGCGATGGGCACCGAGGAGTGTGGGGCCAGTGTACACAGCAGAGGTAGTGAAGTCCAGGAGTCCTACTTGCATGTGGTGAAAGTTACAAGGCAGGCAGACACTGGCAGGTTTACAGACCCATTAAGCTACTCCAGCACAGGAGGGTTCACAAACTATAAGCAACCCCCAAAGGACAGCCCCTGGCCACAGCACACCTCAGGCCCTGCGCACACAATGAAAACGCAAGTGTCCCCACAACTCTGAGGTTCCTTTTAAATCTCCACTGGACCCTCTTGCCCATCTCTCATTTTCCATCTCACCTTTCTCTGCACACAGTAGGGCCACAAGCAGGATGAGCACACAGGACTTCATCGCGTGGGTACTGTCCATCCTAGGATAAGGGGTGCGTAGACAAAACCTTGGAAGTTGGAGCCAGTTGACAGACCCACCAATCACATCCCTGGAGCTCTCACTCTCCTAGATATGCCTCAGGCACTCAATCTCCAACCATCCACACATACTTCCCCAAGGAACGGATATCTGCCTAGTTTTCCTATCCACCACCCACCCAGCTTTCCCTTCCTAACCCCAAACCCCAACCACAGCCCGATCCTGAGGGCCCATCCCTGCACTTGCCACTGCCGCCCCTTCCTGACGCCTCTCCTCACGTTCTCTCTATGACCAGGCTGTAGGCACAGTGGAAATTTCTAGTTTGATGTGGACTGATATAAGTACCGACCGACCCCTCCCTTAGCTCCTCCCAGCTGCTATCCTTAAAAGGGAGAATTTTTCGCATTTCCTCCAGGCTGAAAAAAAAATTCATTACTTATTATCTAAGAGTTGGCAAGGCTTGTTGGTGACCCCAGTGAGCCAGGGGTGCACAGCGGTTGGGAGTTGTTACATCCGTAGCAAGGGAAGGAGGCAACTTACCCAGCCTTTTCTTTTTTTTTACTTTTCCTCTTGTTTTGTTTTGTGTAAAAAAAACTTTTGATTCACTTGGAGTAATTGTTATCTTGGAGGCTTACTGCCTTTGTCTGATAAACTAGGCCCAAAATCATTACAGCCTCTGAGACTTACTGCTTAATAAGCTCAACCTTTCTTGTTCTTTCCTAGCTCTGGGCTGGCTGGTTCAGCTCAGCTTTTCTGACTCAAACTCCTCTCCCAGCTAACTTATTCAATCTGGCTTTTCTCTTGGCTTCTGAATTGCTCTGCATGGCCTCAAACTAACTCCAGGAGTCATTTCTAGTCTTCTGGCTCCTTCTCATTCTCTGGCTTATTCTGTCTTCACCTGTGTGTAGCTTGTTCTCTCATTCAACCTCTCTCTCTCTGTAAAACTGCTTCCTCTTTCTCTCTGCATTGCCTATAAAGTAGTTTTCCCTTTCTTTTCTCTTCTCATAAGAGTTGGACGAATCCTATATTCTGACAAATATTTCACTGATTGGGCACTTTTTTCTGACACTCAGTTAGACCTAACTTTCAAACCTTGGTGCTTCCTTCAACAAACCAATTTTTACCCTCGTTGTTTGGGATTAAAGGCACGTACACCACGGCTGGACATAAGCTTTTCTTTACCTGAAACTTGCTCTATACCAGGCTGGCCTTGAACTCAGATTTGCTTGCCTCTGTCTCCTGAGTTAAAGGTGTGTTTGTGTTCCAGCCAGATCTCACAGACTTAGAAGGTCTTTGGATGTGATCCCTTGCCAGAGCAGGGATCTGCTCTGAATATATTTTGAATTAACATTCTTCTACAACTTCCCCTTTCCTGTTTAAGCTAAAAAAAAAAAAAAAAAAAAATGTATACAGTTTCTCTTTTACAAAAGAAACAATTACCAATCCCACAAACAGTCCAAATGTCCTTACAAAAACCCACCCAGCTGGATGCAGTGATACTCTGTAATTGCAGCCCTGATTATCAGTCCTTTAGCAACAGTCCATTTCAGCATCAAGGTTTTCCATCTGTCCCTCTTCAGCTGGCTTGTTAAGCTGTTCTCATACAGGGGGCATCTGCCTTCTGTGTCTCTTCCTTGAGTCGTGCCTTTCACTTGGAAGCTTCTCTTATTCAGATGGGATCTTTTATTGATTTAGATGCAATCCATAGTCTTTCATCACTTATGGAAATATAGGCAAAGCCTCTTCCCCAGTGTAACATGTTCTCTGAGTTACATTCTAATGTTAAAACATTTTTAAAGTGTGCAGGTTGATCTAATTCAATAGTTTTTTGTTTGTTTGTTTTTGTTTTTGTTTTAATAGTAGCCTTATTTCACCTGGGGCATGGCCAATATTAACCCCCTAAACTATCTTTATCGCTTCTAAGTCCTCATTCCATGTCATCTGCTTTAATCATTCCTATTTGGGCTGCCTCCCATCCATAATCCCAAAATACTTGCTACTGTTCTTCATTTGGATCAATTTCCTCCACCCATGCTGATTGGCCATGTGGTCTTCTCCTGTTAACCCTTGTCAGTGGCCTCTTCCTTCTTCATCCCCCTCTACTTGTCTCCTTCCCAAGATCCTTCTCTCCCCACTAAACCCTTGAACCTTAGCCACACCTACTACCTTCTGCCCTGCCCAAGTGTAGGCCTTTTAATCAGTCAACCAGGAATAATTAGAGCATTCCTTCTCATCAAGTAGGTACAGGAGATAGTTCAACATTAAAAACAATGACCGTGGCAGGACAGGATTATTTCAAGGCACTGAAATAAGCACTTGAATACACAGCACCAGACCAAGCCCCAACAGTTTTGGTTTTGGTTTTTTGTTTGTTTGGTTGGTTGGTTGGTTGTTTTGTTTTGTTTTGTTTTGTTTTGTTTTGTTTTGTTTTGAGGCAGGGTTTCTCTGTGTAGCCGTGGCTGTCCTGGAACTCACTCTGAACACCAGGCTGGCCTCAGTCTCATAGCTATCTGCCTGCCTCTGCCTCCTGAGTGCTGGGATGAAAGGTATGCAACACCATCACCTCCTCCTCCACCGCCACCGCCACCACCGATCTGGCTTTTTCCTGTTTCTAAACAGAGGGTATGTACTGCGGTGGCTCAGAACCCACTCTCCCTTCTTCAAACAAGCAGATAAGCAACTGACAAGTACCTGGAGCCTGGCTCTGGTGAGCAAACCCTTAACAGGGTCTTGTGTCCACAAAGTAAGGGTCCTAAGCCAAGAACTAACTGACATGTGGGATGGGAGATACTAACCCGTGCCTGACATATGGGACTGCAGATACTATTGGCATCTTATGGCTAAAGCCACGGATGCTTTTCACAGCACAGGACAGTCTTAGTGTAGAGGGTGAATGATCCCATTGTCCCCACAGCTGCCCAGAGTGGGGAGACCCTGTCTTGCAGAAGCCTCTGCGAAGAAGCCACATGTTAATTCTCCCCGCTATCCGGTTTGGCATGCTGGACCGAAGAGATCCAGGTCCAAGATGCTCCACAAGGACATGAGTTTTCCTGGCCTTTATGTCACTGCCATGTGACATGGTATTCCAACAAGTCAAACCTCACTAATTTGCCAAGTATTGATTGATCAGCCCTGGGATGAGCAACAGGGCCCCATAGCAAGCCAGAGACTTGGCAAACACATCTGGCAGATGAGGTTCAAGGACCAACCCGCTATTTCGTCTCTCTCTTACTCTTTCTGTCTTGCTCCTCTCCTGCTCTCTCCCCTTTCTCTGTCGGGCCACCCCCCCCACACCATGTCTCTCTCTCTCTCTGTATGTGTGTCTCTGTCTCTCTCTCTCTCCCTCTTCCCTCTCTCTCACTAACTCCACCCAATAAATATCTTTTTCTATCATATCTGTTGTCTATGTGTGGCGCCATTTTTAAATACTAACACCAGTGCCATGCGATAGCCACCAGAAACACCAGCCACAATGAAATGGAGCTGGCTGTCCAGTATTTAATGAAGCTTGCTTCAAATTTGGTTCAGAAATTGTGGTAGTGGTCTTATTCTCTCCTGGTGGGATTTACACGGCAAAGAGAGGTTTATAAAATAGCCTGTCCAATTTCAAAAAAGCTATTAACATTACAGGCAAAAAGTTAGCTGAAATGAATCAAGAAATGGGAGAACTGAGAACAACTGTCCTACAAAATGGAGCTACTATGGCTTATCTGGTACTTAAACCTAATCTTGGTTGTCAGCAGTTTACTGGAATGTGCTGTTTCAATCTCTGATTTCTCTTGTACTACCAAATTTGACAACTAAATTGATGACCTACATAAAGAAATAGACAAAATCTCTCAAACCAATTTTGACTGGTTAATATGGCTAAGATGGTTCTCTTCCATCCCCTCATTGGCCCGCTACTCTTATTTCTACTGGTTAATATACTTAGGCCCTGCACCCTCCAATGTGTTACCAACTTGATCACCTGTCAGATAAACGATGTTAGAATTATTGCCACTCAATGACTTATGAGAAACCTGCCCGGCTCCAACTGGAAGGCAGGAAACATTATGATTTATTGTAAAAAGTAAGTTTCTGTTTCCTGGAACCTGCTCTGTCCTAACCCATGACCTTGACTTCTTTTAGAGAATACAGAAAATTCCCCAACCCCCGCCCAATCAAATGTGGCAAACACATGGTGATGGCTGTTTGTTTGTGTTGGGTTTTTTTTTTTTTTGAGAGTTTTCTGTACTTCCTTACCGAACATAAGCACCAGATTCCTTCCTTTCACAGCCTCATGGCTATTTTCATATATTCTTTTTGTTTTTATCTATGTGGGTCAGAGCGTTAGAAGAGTCAGTCTATTTTGATTCTGATGACACTTGCTCCATGTCTCCATCCATCTGTGTGATGGGGCAAGACAGTGGAGAGGTTCCTCCATCCTGTATTCTTGCTGAGGCCGTTTCCAGGTTTAACTAGAATCTGATCTCCTTGATGGAGCATCCCATGGAAAACTTCCTAGCTCTAGTTTAGGAACCAAAGGTCAGGATGTCCTAACTAACTTATAGTAACCTTTGTTAAAACTGCCTGTTTGTGTGAAACCCCTGCTTCAGCTGGCTAAAGGCTTATTTTAGCTTTCCTTGAAACGGCTTACTTCCGTGAAGCTGCTGTGGCTGGGATGCCACGATGTGCTTTCAGCCTTTAAAAACTCCATGATTTAGACACTTGGGGCCACTACTAGTTATCCGACACTTGGGTGTAGTCCCAGTTGGCTGTAATAAAGACTTTTTTTTTTTTTTTGAGGGAGTGGAGCTTCGAGACAGGGTTTCTCTCTGTAGCCTTGGCTATCCTATACTCACTGTGCAGACCAAGCTAGCCTTGAACTCACAGCTACCCAACTACCTCTGCCTCCCTGGGTGCTAGGTTTAAAAAAGTGTGCTACCAAGCCAGGCTTGTAATAAAAACTTTCAATTAGCCATACACTGTAGGAGTGCTCATTTCCAGTGAGCTTCCTGTAACATCTGTTACTGTGGCCTTGGAGACTATGGAAACTTTGGACCTGTTGACACCAAAATTCAGATCTCACCTCAAAGAGGATAAAATAAAAGATAGTTTATTCAGAAGCCAAATATGAATGAGGATGGTCTGAGAATAAGGCCTTAGGTTACCCTAGGTTCCATGTGCCAATAGTTGATGAAGTTTTCATAGTAATAGAACAAAGAAAGTCCTCAATGAAGGACTTTCAAATATACTGGTGAAAACATCAGGTAAGTGGGTTACAACAAATTCAAGATATCTCTGCTACAGGCCTCAGGTGCTATCTGATTACTCATGGCCTTCTGGTTAGAGGAATTAGGGTTTTGTTAAAACATTCCAAAAGATTCTGTTACTCACCAGATGTTAGATCAAGAGAAGTGGGCAAGCAATGGCTATTTAGGTAACTTAGTTCCCTTAGGATATCTTTATCACCCAATGAAGATTATGATGACTCTGAACCTGCAACAGTCCAACCTTTGTGCAGTCTCAGAAATTCTGTTCATTTATCAGCTTTGTAGATGATCCAGGGCAAAGTGCAATACATTTACTGAAACTTTCTTTTTAAGTTCCCGTCTCCATTTCCTGATAAACATCCTTAAGGCCTAGTAGAAAGAATATAATAACCCCGGCCTTGGGAAGAGACATGACGTTCTGAGTTGCTCCAAAAATTAGAACATTTTGTACTGTTGGGTCCTCCCTTCCTCCCTTGGGAGTTCATTCAGTTGGGCCTGTCAATCACCTGACCAAGAGACCACCCTTTGAAAGGCTGATTCACCTAAAGTCATGCTACAATGCAATATGGTTCTTTAAAAAAAAAAAAAAAAAGGAGGGATGGGGGAGGGACAGGATACTGAAAGGATGCACCTGGAATAAGTAACAAAGCCAGACACAGAAGGGTGCACTGCTTGACTATGTATCCCGAACAGGTAAATCTGCAGAAATGGAGAGAAGTTCGTCAGGGCTTGGGGGAGGAGTGAAGAGAGGCTACAGAATAGGAGTGATATTTCCTGTGGAAGGATGGAAAGGGGGTTTATGGGCAACACAGACACAATAGGCTTTTGACGTGACCACAGAGGTTAGGAACACACGTCCTCCTGTTTGTACAGTAAGCCGTCTTGCTCACTGAGCCACTTCTTCAGCCCAGGCCTGGCCTCAACTCATGTTCCTTCAGCCTCCATGTCCCCAGTGCTGGGATAGCAGGCCAGCACAACCACAACTGGCTTAAGATTTTTTCATCTTAAGTCCGGGTATCTGTTATTACTGATTTTGCTTTGGTGCAAGACACCACTACCAAATCTAGGTCTATGGAGTTCTCCAACAACTGTAGTTTTGTAACTACAGTTTTGTAACTGTAGTTTTGTAACCCACTGAATACAGTGGGTTTACCCCATGGAGACAGCTTGGGCATGTCAGGAAAAGAGGAAATGAGAGTCCCAAAACTTGCCTTTCTAAGCAGTGCAGAAGGGAGGGTATCAGAGAGACATACTTTCTTGCAGAGGCAGATGGGGGTCCATCTTCAATCTCTAGTTTACCTGCGGAGAGGAGCACCCCTAGAGGTAGAATTTAGCATGACAACCAGCAGCGTTAAGCTTTGGGCTGGTACTATGTGGCTTTTTTTGAAGGGCTTTATCTGGTAAAAAAAAAAAAAAGCAGCTTTCCTCCTAAAGAGTCACAGAATTTGTCATCAAGTTACTGCTTAGATCTTGAGGTGAAATCGTGGATCCATTTGGGTTGACTTTATTTATTTATTTATTTATTTATTTATTTATTTATTTATTTATTTATTGACATGGTGTGTTGAGGTAAGGGACACCTGATTCTCATGTTCCCCAGAGGTCCCAGTAGCACTTGTGAAAGCACTATTCTTTTTTCCACAGACAGACACGGCACTACTGTTAAAAAAATCACCTGAGCACCTGCATGAGTGTATTCTTCTGGACTCTGCTCTCGCCTGTCTATGTGTTTTTGTTACACTATTTTTGATTTGTTTTGGCTTTTTGAGACAGGAACTTGGTATGTGTTTGAGGATGACCTTGAACTTCCGATTCTCCTGCCCCTGCCTTCTGAGTCTTAGGATTACAGGCTGATCCCACCAAATCTTGTGACGCTTCCAATTTCCTGTGAATTTCTGTAGGAACCTATCTTTGCCTTTTTCGATCTCTCCCTCTCCTCCCTTCCTCTCTTCCTTTTTTTCTCTCCTTTTGTCTCCCTGACCTCCACCTGACAACTGAGTTTCAGCCCTGGGATCCACACAGTAGAAGGAGAAGTCCTGTAAGATGGCTTCTGACCTCTATGCGTGTTCCATGTCACATATGTGCACACAGACTTATGTGATTAATAAATGAAGGTTAATTGTTAAAAACCGTTCCTATCTGTAAGCCTAGAGTACCCTTCCACTTATGTAGGCCTGCCTTCATTTCTTTCGCAGCTTTAATGTTCCAGGCTTGTGACACTTTGTTTAAACTTATTCCTAGGTGTCTGATTTTTTTTAGGTTATTATAAAATAACTGGTCCCTCCACTTCATCTAGCTCTTGACTGGTGGTCTATAAAGACACCACTGGTT